TTCTCTTTACTAACTGTCATACCTCGTCTCATGCCGATATGATCTTTCGCAAGTGCGGATTTTACCTTACGAGCCGTTTCTATATGCGTCACGCCCGTGCCATACCTGTCTCTAAAAGTCACGATATCGTGGAACGAGGAACGAGTATGTTATTAGTCATTATATTATACCTTTTCGTGTTTTCGCGAAATTATTATGAAAAAATTTATTTGAAAACTCGTAGGCATTTCCCAATCACCAAGGCGCAATTCTGGCAAATAATTATGTAACGTCGCTCAATATTAGTGGAAGCGGCGTTTGCTTTGCATGAAGCAAAATATTTCAGAATCCGACGCGTTTCCATCGTGCAATCGACGCCGACGGGTAAATACGGAATTGCAATCTGCAATTTCCGATCCCGCCGGTCCAATTGCGAAACCCCTCGCAGGCCTCACACGAAACGCACGAAACACCCGAGTACACTTAATCGCGCGCGATATCCCCCGTCTCTTTTTCTCTCCTATAATATATATTATCGCGCAAACCTTCTCCCTGCTTTTTACGCAGGAAGAGCGGACGTGTGGTCACGTGGTAACAAATTTCAATGTCGCATTCGCCTCGCCGTGCATGATTCAACATTGGAAAGTAGCCGTAAACCGATTAACTTGAAAGGCATCGATAGCTCACCCGAGCTTTTCTTCATTAATCATTACGATAATAATAACATAATACGCTAGCGCGATCTACTCCCATGTATATAACTTCAACAATATGTATAAAAAATTACTATAAAATAGTCTCACGCAATTACAAGTGTTATTGAGTTTTGTCTCATGCATCATGAGAACGACAATGGCTACGACCTACGACAGATGACGGTAGAACTTTACGATCTATTAAGCATACTTCGTTAATCAGCCCGTGAGCCATTTATCACGAACGTCATCGAATTAGCGTTTTTTTTCCGTCGCGCGGTCATGTTATATCGTGAAACGGCGAGAGAATTAGAAGGAGAAATACCTACTCGCGTCGATCGCAATACCGTTATCAATTATACAATCGCGATTGTTTTTAAATAGATACGATACGCTCGCGCGTATTTCTACTCTACCCCTTCTTTCCCATTCGTCCCCATTCTTTCCCTTTCCTTTCCTTTCCGCATTAGCGATGCAAATAGACCGCTCCACATTACGCCGCAATTACATTATAAATCTAGCTTTTTTTTGTCAATTGGGCGTCAATCAATTAATTAGCACGTGTAAATATGCAATTCGAAAGCGAAGAGCATGATTTACGTGTTCAACAGGCGGGTTGTCAATCACGTAAATTCAATCTGCGAGTATATATCCGCGATTCGTCCTCGCGATTTGCGCAAGAGTGAAAGAGACTTTAATGTCAATGTTAATGTAATGTACGGGGGGGCGGGGAGGGGAGGGCGACACCGTTTGTTTCGCAAACAACGACGACGAACGCGAGCGACGAAATCGCAAATGACCGATCTCCCGCATCTTTCGGACCGATCCACCTCATCCACCTAGGAATATCGAGAGATATAGCTCGAGAACGACTCGCTCGTTCACTCACTCGCGGCGAATTGCGAAAGGCAGCAATCGCGAATGGATCACGCGAGCGCGCGCGCGAGAGAGAACATCTCGGGGGCCCGGCAGTCGGCAGTTGCGACACGCGCACGCAATTACGCAACTTGCGTAACCTGCGCCGCGACTCGTTCGAGGAACGCCCCATATATTCGCCATATCGCGGGGGGGGGGGGGGGGGGGACTGGCTGGTATGCCGATATTGCCGATTCGAACAGGAGATTCGGTTTTATGTTTAAGTATTTCCTTAAATAAAATTAAATGTTTGGCAAAGTATACAGAACAGTCGAAAAGAGAATTGCGAGGAGATTATCTTCTTCTCTTTGACGAAGATAATATTAGCTTGGAGAAACAAGTAATGTATTAGTAATAAGTATACATATATGCAGTATATATTGTAATCAGGTAAGGTTTGATTGATTTGCACGTTGTGGATGCATTATTTTAAGCGAGGATATTGGGAATGGTTTGAAATATACCGTTATATACCGCGTTTATATGCATATTATACCGTATATATTGTGCATCTACATATGTATATATGTATTCTTAGAGTTTATGTAATAACCAAAATAAAAATCGATTAACACAAAGCGGCGTGACGTCGGCGCGCGTCGTGATGTGTATACGCCGGTATATATATATGTATATTGTATGCACAACTTTTCGATAGCACCGATCATTTTATTACTGTTATGTTAAGGGAACATTGATATTGTCAAATCTAACGGATTTGTAATCTCACTTCTAAGGCGTATTTATAAAGGGAAAAATCATATATGAAAGAAAATTACATCATGTAATTTCTTTCGTGAAGCACATAGGTACATAAAAATACGAAATTACAAATCTGTCTTATTTTGTCATTATATTGATATTCAAACATAATAGCAGTAATATCGTCGAAATCAAAGGTTTATGAAAGCAATTAAAAAAAAACGGAGGTAGACACGACGCACAATCGCGAAATTTCAGGTTTTACAAACTTCAGGGATACTGATTCGAAACGGAATCGTTTATTTACCTATATATCTACCAATGTACATACTTCAAACATTGCATGTCGAATGTCGATGCTTCCATGCACAGAATCGAGTTTCGTACTACGAATCAAGGGCGATCGGTGTTTCGAATTCCGCTCTCGTGGGTGACCGTGAGGGTTACGCCAAGTTCTTTCCTCGACAAAGTCTCGGTTTTTTCTTTTTCCTTTTTTTTCTTTTTCGAGGACGCCGCGTAATCCGATTCGGCAAAACGATTTCACTAGGATTAATCCCTAAATTGACGCAACTGACCCAAATTGTTTTCCTCTCATTTCTCAACATAAAAAAGGACGGAAAAGAGAGAGGGAGAGAGAGGAATAAAAATTGAGATAACCGAAGGTTGGCAGCAGTCGGGAGAAAAATCTCGCAACTCGAAAGAAGGAAAGGGTCACCTTAAGAAGGTTGGTTGCTCAAATCAATATAATCAATATGATTAAGAATTAGTCAAAATTTATGGAGGATATTCGTCTATGGGAATCTGTCGTCCATGCTAAAGTTGAAGACAATTGTCCGCATGGTTGTCGAGTAATTAATTATTGGAATTATACTCGATCTTTTTCTTATATACGCGGGCATGAGCGACATAGCAAAAATGTTACGACACCTGTAATGTAACTCTCGAAAGCATATTAAAAATGATAAGAATTTAATGAAAATAGATGCAAATAATTCTTTACATATTTAGGAAGGACTTTACATATTTACGAAGACTGAAATGATTTGTCTACATACAGTTATCAAGAAATTGTAAAAATAAAACAGCATATTGCCACATTACAACGTATTTTTTCATTTTAGTTTTAATTGTACGAACAACAACTTAAAACCTTAAGAAACAGCTAATTAAATGCATTCCACATATTCATTTGCTAAAACTCGGTTATTTCACGCGTCGAAAAATTTGATTCTTTAGAGTCGACAGCCGTCCCCTCTCGCCGCCTGCCCCGCAATGTGTGACGACAACCAACCTCCTTAATGAGAAACGGGAATAAATATGTTTCGAAATACACACTTTATATATAGATGTGTAAGATGTGTATACATTTAGTAAACCGCAAAAATATCCTTTTGCCGAACGTGGATAAATCGCACGTGTCAAGGCATTTGTTGACGTTAATTGGGCAACAGTAGCCCTCCGGTCGAGCTGTACATCGGAACTCGGGAAAAGAAGAAAAAAAAACGTTGAACAAACAGGAGAGAGAAGCGAGAGCGGTCTCGAGAAACGGGAATTAAATGGGGCGAGGCAGACTCTCGGTAAAGGACGCGATTAATGACGGCCGATAAAAGTCAAGCGACTCGCAGTGACCCGACTGCGACAACGGACAACGGTGAGCGGTCAAGGTGGCGCGTTTCATAATTCAGCCGGTGCGTCGGCGTCGCGCGCGCCGCTCTGTCACCTGGCAATCCTGGCATGCCAATTACACGCGACGCTCTCGTCTTTTTCTCGTTAGGCGTGCACGCGCGCGCTATCGAGATAACCCACTTTCCGCCGTGATCACCGCGACCGGCGCCGGCGGCGCGACCAGGCCGAAGAATTGGCTGGCTGTTCCGCCGACATCGGCGTCATCTCCTTCTTCCACGACCGATTATTATTTATCCCTTCAATGTTCAATCTACAGCCGGACCCGCCGGTCGCCAGCTGACTCCCGGCTCCTCCGACCTTCACCTATACGCGAAAGAATCTGCTCTTTTGCGCAAACCGAACAATTTTTTTACGTTCTTGTTGCCCAATTAGAGAGTTGCGATTTTTTTTTAATTTTCGGTGAACGTCACGATTGCACAATGTGACGAAATCGTAAATCGTATGAGGTATCGTAGCAAATATTATAATATTTGGAAACGCGTTACTCCGTTAGAACGGTTTCTCTCTAACGCAGAATGCGGAACGAAGATTTCCCAACAGTTTATTATTCGACAATGCGCTCATAATTTTTTACTTGTTAAATTTTTCTTTAAATATTTACTTAAAAGTAAACTAAAGATAATGTGCGCAAAAAATGTGGGAAAAAAGGAGAGACGGAGGGAGATGAAAATTGAGTTTCTTAACTCCTTGTCATATATATTTTTTCAACTATTGTCGATCTTTCTTCGCGCCTGCCATTTCCATGTCGTCGATTTTCGCGGAACGCGCGGCGCGAGTCCCCGTAACATGAAGAAAACAGCATAAGAAATCTGTTACAAGAGGCGAGGAGTCTTACGACATGGCGCGCTAAGCCGGCCAAGCAAACAGTTATAAATCACGGGCTACGGGCCACGGGCCTTGCCGTGGTTGACCCAGCCCAGCTAGCGGCCTAGCGCCATACATGGGGGATAAGATCAGACATCAGACCTGAGCGATGCCGGACGTGTGGTCGTGTGGACGAAAGGCATAAAGCGGAGGACTTACCGGCGTACGTGCTCTTGAAGCTCTCGTGAAGCTTGAAGGTGAAGGGAATATGGACCTTCATCATTTCCATTTGCGGTATGCGCGGCGAATGCGCTATCACGCCGCCGCCGCCGCCGCCGCCGCCGCCGCCGAACATCAGGTCGTCGCCGTGGACGCGTAACACCATCATGTTCCTGTAATAGATGAAATGCACCTTTCAGATCGATCGATTGATTCACCGACGAGGCGAAGAGCCGGAGATCGATCATCTGTACGGCCGAATCTTCGTAATTATGCCAACGCGATTTATCCGTCAATTCAATCGTTTCAATCCGACAACGTGTTAAAAACATTCGACAGCTATTATATTATAATATTTGTAAATTTGGGACTTTGATCAAGTTAATATCATTTTATGAATTATACACGTGCGCGTGATCTCACACACACACATACACACACACACCATAATACACCGATGATAATCTGTTTTTTCCTTCAGATTTCCGCGTACGTTTATTTTAATCATGCGCTGAAGAAAACGAAATTATTATATTGTTAAACAGTGTTTTTTCACGCTCTAATAATCGCAACAAAAAAAATTCTTATTTCTGATTAGAAATTCCAGAACGTGGAAAAAACAGAAAAACGCAAAAACTCATCGCACGTAGAGTCCCGTTAATCCTTGACAAATATGTTAATCGAGGAATCGTGAAAAAAAAAGAATTAGATGTATAGTATAGCGGTTTCATCGAAAGGGTATCGGTGATAATTTTGGAATCGACAAGGCGATCAACGGGATCAGATGCGATGATCGACTAACGTATAGCAAAACCTATGACGACAACGACGAGACGTAGAAGAAACTGACACGGAGCAAATATGAAAACAATCGTTCACAGTTAAACAATTAACATGCGATTAATATGCGAACGACCGGCTGTTTCCACTGATTGTGAGTCGAGTTCGAAACCAAACCGAGCCGAGCCAAGCCGAGCCGAGCCGAGCTGTCACTGTCAGTGACCTTGCGGCCTTGAGACGATGAAGGAGCACGTGCTCTATTGTGACAAAAGTAATTCGACGAAACGGATCAGTGATCACAGACACGGACGGTCAGGATCGAGAGATCATCCTGACTCGCGATTCGAAACTCGCCATGCTGGGAGACATCGCGCGAATCTAATTGATGACGCCTCATCCCACGATGCCATACGTGCCAAGAATAAAATCCAAACAATCTTCGTAACAAAATGCGAAGGATTAAGAAAGAAAAAACGTCGGCTTTGCCGAATGTAAAATTTACGCATTAATAATCCTTTCCTTTAACGCGATTCTTTCAGTAAACATTAAACATGGTATATCATTCTCACAATGTATATCATACATGTACCCGATGTGTTGAGATTCGACGTTTGCATCGCGTCTCTTTACACTTCTGCAAATCTACATTTCTTTTCGCTCGACAGAAGCTGTTTTTGTAAAAGACGTGTGTTAAAATTTAACGTGGTATGTTATAAGTACCCCGCTCTTGTGACACGACACGCACGTTCCCTTCTTACACACGATATTAATGGCAACTATTTTGATGAAGCACGTCGAAGCCTTGCGTTGCGACGTTCGCAGAAAGTCGCAGCAAGATTCGAGTCGAGTCGAGTCGAGTCGAGTCATATAAAATTCAACAGCGAAATGTGAGAAGGAGCGTCGAGCTTGGAAGGCGTTTCGTGGCGTCGAAATAAGTTTGATTCGACTCAGGAGAGCTCCGTCCTGATTCCTGATTCAACAACGGCATGTCGCGAAAGCCGGAAAAGAGGAAGAGCACGGGACGCCGACGTGGACGATGACAACGACGGCACGGACGAATGACGAGGCTGACGATAACGACGACGGCGCGCGGCGGCGAGGCGAGGCGAGGGGAACGTTACTGCTCGCAATTGCGAAGAGTTTCACGATTTACAAACAGTGCGACTTAGCTTTCGAGACTCTTTCGTGCCTACTTTCGAGACCCCGAGCACGAAGCCACGAAAGTGGCTGCGTCACTCGAGAAAATCAGAGATACTTATCGCTCGTTGTGTCGTTGTCGTCACCGCGCCGTCGTCTACTCGTCTACTCGTCTACTCGTCTCTCGAAGCGCGGAACTCGCCGCGACTCTGTCGACTCTCGAAACCTCTCGCTCTCGCGGGCTCTCAGCTCTCAGCTGCGTCGCCCGTAAAGAGAGGAGAGAGAGAAAATCAAATAAAATAAAAACATCCGCTCTCTCTCTCTCTCAATCGCCGTGCGATTCGCTTGTCTCGTAGCGCCGCGAAAAATCCTCCCCCGTCCCTGTCGCTGCATCGCGTCGGTCCCTTCCTCTCTGCCTCTTTTCGAAAATTTTCAAAGTTTACAAATACAAACCCCGGAATCCCGTTTCACAAAGGAATAAGACGCACGTTTGTTTACGCGTGATTTCATTACACCATTGATACGCTCGTCATCTCGGAGAAAACCTCGCGTTCGCGTAAGTCTTTGCGTTTTCCGCGAAGATCAACCGGGCGAAGCGCGCGAGGCTCAAGCTCGAGAGAGAATCTCCGCGGGAGTCGCGGGTCGCGACTGTCACGTCGTCGGCTCTCTCTCAACCGGATCGCTCCGGAATGGCCGGGGACGGGAGCAATGACGATCCCTGCCTTAGGCTTCAAGCTTCAACTTCAACTTAAACTTGTATCCATTCGGATATTCATCCTCATCGCTTAATCCCCGGGGTCCGAGAGATTTAAGGCGCAGCTATACATATATGACGTCATTTATCGCTTCCGGAGCTGTCCCGAGTGCCGCGGTTATAGCTGTTAGCTGTCAGGCGGCCGTTACGGAAGGTCGGCCATCGAATATTACAAAACACTAAACTAAACAGTAACAGTAACGGTAACAGGACGGCCTGCAAAACCCCGCTTTTAACGCAACGCCGCGCCGAACCGAAGTCTGTCTTTTTTCCTACGCTACGTCGCGCCGCGCCGAGTCGAGGTTTCCCGCGCGACTCGAGCTTTTCCCTTTTTCTATCTCCAGGATGACGCGTGAATAAAGTACAATGAATAAATACATTTTTTTTTCGCTTTTTAAAGTCGCGATTTCCTTTTGATTTATCGCACTCGAGTGGCCTCGCGTGTTTTCCTTGACGCGTGCTAAGAACATTATAATGCGCATAATACGTATTGCTTAATAATGCAATATAACGCATATAAAATATGTTGCGCGACACTCTCGGTCCTTACTCGAGAAACCGCGTCGTCGCGTCGCGAGGAACGAAACTCAAGGCCGCGGGCGCGGAGACGTCTCCGTCTAACGTCCTAACGTCCTATAGCTCCGTGTCTAACGTCAAACAGTCAAGCCGCGTGGTCGCGTGGTCGCGTGGCCGGTCACGAGTGAGTCACGACGCGCGACCGACAAAGCTGTCTCCGATGAATTTTCGTCGAAATTTCGTGTATCACGCGACACGCGTCGCGAAAGACGCGCGAGCGTTAACCTCCGCCTCCGGATCGTCGCGACGCCGCGACGCCGACGAACCGAAACGTAGATGTTCTCGAGACTCGAGACCGGCGTGCGAAACGTGACGTTTCTCGTCGACTGACGCAACCTCGCGTCACGCTCGTTGCGAAACGTGACGTCACTTGGAAAATAGATCGAGATAGACGGATACTTGTTTCTTCGTTTGTCTCTACGCCCGACGACGCGCACCATCTTCGCCAGCTCGTTATCTCGAGCTGCGACTGACGCGGATGCGCGATGCGCGCGCGAACAGAAGAGCCGACAGCCGACGGAGAGCGAGCGGAGGGAGAAGGAGAAGGAGACGGTCGGGCATCAGGCAAGGTATGCGTATAATACACGTACCCCACGTACCTCATGATAAAGAGGAAGACCCCGCAGAAGCATATGAGGACGGCGAGCACGGAGAATATGTTGGAGAGCTCCGCCACGGAGACCAGAATCGCCGTCATCGTGTCGCACGTCCGCGATGATAACCGCCGTCGTCCTCCTCAACCCCGGCTGGCCCGTCGCCCGTACCCGCGCACATGCACGCACACTCGCACACGAAGCCTCACGACGCCCCACAACTCTGTTTCTGTCTCTTCGCGCTATATTAACGACTGTCAACGTCAACTGTCAACCGCCCTGTCGTCTGCCGCCTTATCGCCTCCGCCTCCGCCTCCGCGTTCTCGTTCTCGGCTCGACGCTTCGAGGCGCTTGGCTTCGAGCGCGCCGTCGTCGACACCTCCTTCATCGACGTCCCGTGACGCGCGACGCCGTGTAGCAACTACACGACGAGCTTACGCACGTAGCGCGGCAGACGAGACGTCGCCGGCCGAGAGACGACGCATCGCGCTCTCAGTCATAGCTCGTAGCCGTCGTCCACCGTCTACTACCATTCACAGTCACGAGACTGTTTTGTCGCACGCGGAGCGGAGCAAAGCGAAGTGGAGCGGAGCGCAACGCGCGCGAAGACGTGTCACGTTGACGTGAGCGCGTGAGAAAGACGGAAAGCGTCGCGGCACAAGAGTAGACGACCAACATGCGCGAACATTGCCCGATGTGCCAAATGCCACGCAGTCCGCAGTCGGCAGTGCACCACGCCAGTCGACTGGTCGACACTCACGAAACTGACTGCGCGAGTGCGCGACCGGCGCGCGGCGCGCCACTTATACGCGTCGTAAGCCGTTGCCGTTAGTTGCCGCGCCGGCCGCGCGAGCCGTGAGGGCGCACGCCACTCGGTGGCCGGCGCTGCGGCGCCCGGCGCCCTCGGCGACGTCGAACAAAAGTTCTATAGAACTTATCAGTCGCTCGCTGCAGTTAAAAAATTAAACAACTACTAATTAAACACTATTTTGTTTAAACGATGGGCGAATCACGTATTTACGTAATATGCTAGATAGCGCGAGAGCAAATAAGTTAACGAGATATACGTAAAAACTTGGACTAAACTTTGCTTAATATAGAGCTTTAATCACACGTAAAACCACCGCGAGCGTGAGCGCTAATAACGAAACGTTCGTTATCTTTAATCCAACCTGTTATCTCACGCGTTAAGCGTACGCGACAAAAAATTAATACGTCTATTTATGTTAAGTAAATAGGATAAACGATTTAAAACGCGTACGTCGAGCAACTCGATCAAAGTTTGGTCCAAGTCACGCAACGACGCGACGCGACGCGACGCGTGCGTCAAGTGCGCAGAGTGCACAGACACTCGCTCTTTATTAGTTAATGGACTAACGATAAAAGCGATTACGGATACATAGTATGTTTTAATATCTTCCCGCATTGTAAATTTGATTTCACATGCAAACATCTCGCGTAGCTTCACGAACTCTTGGAAAATGAACGCGTCTTGGATTCTTCGCGAGCGAAAACGTAGCGCAAAATGTTGCCTTTGCCGTGTCGTTTATTTTCGGAACGTAGGATATATTCTGATTCTCCCGTACATATACAAATAGTCTAAAAACTCTAAAATGACCCAAGCGCCCAAGTAGCTAAACTGGCCGAACTGGCGAGTGGCGACATCTGGAGCGATCAGTCTCGATCGACGCCTCGACTGGCTCGACTCCTCGACGCCGAATGACCCGAGTATTCGGAGTACGCGGACTCGTCGGCGTCGGCGTCGCCCTTCTCGCTTGTTTGTTGTTTCCGTCGTCGTTACCGAGATTGGCAGGGGAGGGGACGGAAATGTCAAGGATGCTCGCGGTAGATTTCGAGGTCTTCGGCATCGTGCAAGGTAACGCGAGACCTATGACCTATATCCGGCGACTCGTTTTCACGTATTTCGGTTATTCGTCCGTCTCGTTATATTAACGATCGTGCTTGTCAAAGGTGTCTTCTTCAGGAAGGTGAGTAAACCGCCTGTAAACCGGCGCGCCTCTCGTCCAGAGATTCGACGATCGTTTGACGTTTGAGGCCGTTTGAAGCTGCCGAAAATGCCGAAATGCTGGAAACCGGAAACGCATAACGCACGCGACACGCGACGCACGACGAGTGGCGAGTGGTCAGTCGGTCAGTGGCGGAGAGGCAGAGGGATCGAGAGGGACGAGGAGTCCGCGTCCGCGAGGACCTTGAGACTTGTCGCGACATCTCCCGAGTGTTCGGTCGATCGATCTAACCGTTTTTCGCGTTACCTGTTGCACGTGCTTCGTACGCGATCACGTAAATAAACCGCGGTAAAACAAACCGTGCATATATTCATTCTAGCTTCTTACCGACGCGACATTGCAATCTCTTTGCTATCCAACTCGATGCACGAACGTATACGTCTGTCAAGTTAAAAGTTTACCCTTTATTTTATGAAAAATATATTGACGCTCACAAAATATATTTTCAATCTTATCGAAGAACTGTACGCACGTAAAATATTCTCGGGTTAAATTATATATTTACGTTTATACGACGCGTACGCGTACGCGCGCGCGCGTGCGGTATGCGGTACCAGGTAGTTTTGGTACCTTGACAAATCGCGATGTAGTAAATGCAGTTTCATATGTTCCATCCGCTATCTTTCGGAGATATATGTATATCTTTCGTCACCGGGAAAACTTACACGTAGGCGTCTTGTTTGCTTACGAGTAACAGTACACGCAAAAACGCGGCAAGGAGCTGGGGCTGAAGGGATGGTGCATGAACACCCCGAACGGTACCGTGGTCGGCCACCTGGAGGGGGAGAAGGCGCAGGTCGAGGAGATGTAAGGACGCTTATATTCGATCGATACGCTATCAACGAGTGATCGAGAAAGCCAGATATATCTGCCTTGCTCTGTCGCTTCTCTGTGTTTTATTTCAGGAAACAGTGGCTTCGCCATACCGGAAGCCCTCAGTCGCGGATCGATAAGGCGGAATTCCGCAACGAGAAGGAAATCTCGCAGCCGTCGTTCTCCAACTTTGAAATCCGGAAGTAGGCCGGAACGAGAACGAGGAGTAACAACATGCGTTAACGTTTAACAATAAGTCTTAATAAAATTATTTATAACTCGCTAAGCGCGCATTTGCTCGCTATTATTAAATTTAAATGAGCCGTATTATTTAAATAAATGTAACGAGTTATTAACATATTACACGCATCCCTTTCTATTTGTAATTTCAGAAATGATACATTATCCAAGTTTTCTTACCCTCCTTCAAATACCTACCAGCTACCTCCATGCAACTACCGCGGTACTCGCCCCATGAGTTATGAATATCAAAGATAAAAACTGCCCAAGGGAGAGAATCATGAAGGAGCCATATACTGGATGCATTTTAGATTCTGGGAAAGATGTACAGGGGTAATACGCCTCTCTTATGCTTTTGACATTTACAAGGATAATGGTTCTCTAGATTCTCCAATTCTTTAAATGGGACGCCGACTTTCCTTTGTCGCGGGGTTAAATTGAATTCACTATTCAGATACGCAAGAATTACAAGAATGCCATGTTCGACTTAATCGCTTTAGTTTCTCGTGCTGGGAATATTCTCAAGCTATTTTTTGATAAAGGCAGGGACGAGAAGGATCGTTTCGACCCGAATCTGGCCGAGAATCCGTCTCTCGCAAATATACGACCGCATAGAGAGGATCCGACACGCCACGCGGAAGCGGCACCGGCACGGCCGGCGGCGCGGCGTGGAGGAGCGACTCGCGTCAGCAATCAGCATCTCCGCGAGTTTCTCTCGTTACTCTCGTTAGTCGGCGATCGCGCGGCGAACGGCGTGGTTCTCGCAGTACGATCGCATCTCGTGAGTGTGTTTTTCTCCTCTTCCTCTTCCTTTTTCTCCCTCTTACTTCTTACTTGCATACGTGTCGGGAACCATTGCATCTCTCTGAGGTCTTGCGAGGACCATCGCAAATATAAGTACACAAACTCGCGCGAGTCGCGAGAATGCGCCTGAGTTCCGCGCTCCCGGCTCCGGTCCCACTCACGTCAGTCACGTCTTCGTCGTCGTACGCCGATCTTGGTTTCGTGATCGATCTCGATCGGGTTACGGACGGCGACGAGGAGGAATCGACGATCGACGTCGCGCCGCGATAATGCTATGATCGGCGGGGAAGAGGCGGCGAACGGTGTTGGAGAAACGATCGCATCGGCATGAGGTGTTTCGAGAGCTTCTTCAAACACACCTGGCGGCCGCAGCAGGTGCATCAGGTGCATCAGGTGAGCGAATGAGCCAAGACGAAACTCTAGCGTTCTCCCTATTGTTGTCTTTGCGTCTCGTCTGGTCTCGTGTCGCGATCGCGATGACCCCAATCATAAATGTGTCGATCGACACTTGGAACGTTCGACGCGATATTCCGTTCGGCGATTGCCCCGCCAAACGACGTGTACGTGTTGTGCGCGTGTGCCGAGACGCGCTATCAGGTATGACAAGACGCGTCGTACGTTTCCCCATCCGCACGTACTAAATCCTCAACCCTTTTCGTTACGTACAGAAAATTAAAGAAAAAAAGCATCGAATCATTTGCTTTTCACGTTGTACATACTTTTGTTCGATCTTTGTTTGATAATAATATAAACTTTAATAATATTTTATAATAACTTAAATAATAATTCTTTGATTTACGGTTTTATATGATAGTATTTTAATTATATACATACATGGAAAAAGAAATACGTTATTGTATTAACTACGTGTATAACAATTATCTTGTTAATACATTACGTCACGCTTTTGTTCTATAAAAAATATTGTTATTCGTTTTACTATACTTTTATTGAACAGTAAGTAACAGTAAAGAATTAACAAGATTATTTTCAACGAGGCTAATGCCATCGATACATCATCTTTCTTACCGTGTATATATAGAATTTCATCTTACAAATCGAAACTGTTTTAGAAAGGGGAAGAAAATTATTAACATTGACTGGAGACTAATGGATACACGATTTCTATGTCGATCGCAAAGGCTTAACGAGACCGTCGATCCTCATCTCGCTGTCAGCTCTTTGATGAAAATGAAAAATATTTTATCGCAAAATATTAGGATATCCTTCAGCCTTCTCTATATCGTTAAAATCGCAATGTAATGTAACAGCGAACGTCGTCAGGAATAGATGATAGATGACAAGTGAGGTACTACGTTTACGCGAGCGTTATTACTCGTATATAATAACTTTCGATAATTCATTCATTTACGCGGAGTGACGTATCGTAAATTACTACAGAAATAACGTTCGCGTAAATATAGTAAAGGAGATACGTTAAATATTATCGTACGCAAATTTACTAAAACGCATAAACATTTTACATTTTACAAGAACGCTTTGTCGTTTTGATTACCGAAGCGTTTAGCACACGTTCCGAACACGTCATATATAATGGCTATGATGGTTTCCGCGTCCGGACGAGGACAAAACCTGTTTTTGTATTTTTTGCATTTTTTTCCTTGCTTCTCGCTCTTGACGTGTTTTTATTAATCACGAAAAATGTACATTATATATATCTTAATAAAAAAAAGTGTTAAAAGAGATCCCCCCTGTGAAACAATGACAACAAGATATATATTTCTGAACACGTTTCTGCAATTTTCCAAGTGCTCGCCCGAGTCTCGTTAATTATCCCCGAGCGACGCGGCGCGTCGCGCGCTTGTACCCTACTCAACCCTACTGTAGGGCTATCCGCTATAGGGCTGTGCTAGGGTGCAACACGCGCGGCGCGCGCAATGCGCATCACGGTTGGCTACGATCGACGAAAAATTCACGCTGCAAAATTTATCGCGCTTATTTAAATTTTTCCGATCGACGATTCGCGACTCGCGTCGCGGCTTGAACGCGTCCGCGATAAAGATCGATAAAATCATCAAAATGGCCGGGGCGCGAGGCGAGGCGACGGCGACGGGCGATCGTAGTTTGTAGTCGCACGGCTTATCAGTCGACGACCGACTTCCCTTCTCGTTGTAACGCGGTTATGACGTGGTATCTCGGTATCGCGTTATCGTGACGATCGCCGAGATGGACACGAGGATCCGGCAAACGATGATCCTCGGAACATGGACGCGATTTACGTAATCGTATATACCTGTCCTCGCGGAAAATAACAGACGAGAGAGAGAAAGAGAGAGGGAGTTACGCAAGGTACGATTATACATAGGTATGATGCCTGCGGATGTCGCAATATTTCCATGGAGATGTACATATGGAGGTATTCGCGTCCTAGACTTTCCTCCAGCATTCTATCGTTGAGCGATGTTTACTACAATTACTAACTACGTGTAGCGTGTAGCGTATATAACGCCGCGATCATCGTCCAGGTATAGCTAAAAGCAACGACGCAACAACGACTTAATAATGAGTACTGATGGTATATGTAATTAGCTAGATGCTAATGCATCTAGCAATTATTAATATTAATGTATACGTAGTTTATATACGAGTTTGGTTGCAAGTGCATTAAACCGGAGGGGAACGGATGTTTACGATCGCCGGGACTTGCCAAGATTTTTGACGGTATAGCCTCGGCAGGAGCTGAAGGCTGAAGGGGGACAGAGTCGGTTTATTGGCCGGTTGGTCAGGGGTCGCGGTTGATAAGCGCTGATAATGTCTCCCGCTCGGTTTAAACCTACTAGTCACCAGTCAGTTTGTGTGGCGCGCGGCGATTCGCGCGAGTGAGTTACTGCGCGTCGCGTCGTCGCGGTTCACCGTATCGCGATCGTATCGCGCTCCGAACTCCCGAGTTCCAGGTTTCGGGTTCCGGGTGCAAATTAATTTGACGAGAAGAAGGAATCCGGTTCTCTCTCTCGTGAGGGGACGGCTCTTTTCTTTTCTGGAACTCGGAGGTGCTCCCTCCGAAGTCCGAGATGCGATAGCGAGGTATGAGCAAGGACGATTGCTGCGTCAGCAAGTATGGATACGCGTTCGACAACGTGAGTACAGCCGCACGTCGCACTGTGATCTGACGAGTCGTCTTTGATTAACGTCTAGAATAGAATAAGAAATAGAATGATTGGATAAGAAAACGTATAGGGAAAAAAAGAGAGAATAAAATATTGAAATTAGAATTAATATTTCTTTCTGTTCCAATTAATTCTTCGAAATAATCTACAGGATATCTTTTTTTTTTTTTATGAAGCCAAATACACAAGAGACATCGTTAACGTTCTGGGAATACGAGATCTTTTTGTAATTACGATTTATTACTTGTTATTAATTATCTGTTTTCGCATTTAATTATTGAGTTAGATAATTTATCATGGAAACGAAGGAAAACGTAAGCTACGTTGAACGTTGGGGGGAGGGGAGAATATATATAGGGGAGGGTCCTGAGTCCTGAATAATCGCGTTATTTATTACATATCGTTCGCCAGTCGTCGCCGCGTCGTTTAATTCTGTTCTCGCAATTTAACAATGCCGGCGTCGACACGCTTACATCGTGGATGATCGTGGCAGCTACATCCGAGAAAGCGATTAAATCTCTCGTAACTCGTAACTCGCAAATAAGGGACCCCATTAAAATCGACGCGCTGGCGAGCGACACGGTCGATCGCCTCTAATCGGGTCGTTGACTGAATGTAGTCGTTGATCCTCGAACGAACGCGTTAGTTCGTGCGGTGAAAGTCGCGTAACAAGTAACGTTAACAGACTCCCCTTCCTCTCCTTCCGCGTGCTAAAAAAAGAAGAGATAAAAAGCGATCGCGATTCGGGCCGATCTCCAAGTGCGATTTCAAGAGGCGTCCGGATGAGGCTCCCCTCAGTCCCCTCTCCAAGACTCTGCGACTCCGTTCATCGCGAGATCCAATCGAGCACCTCGAAAACTGGCGTTTATTTGGAAACACGTTTTATTGCCGTTTTTCAAATTTCTACTCTTTTTCCTTTTATTAAGAAACAATATTTTATTGAATTTTTACAACACTCACGCGCGCGCGATTTCGCGACCAACTGGACGATATATAAATGTATATTGATACAGCTTTCACCGAGGCACATATGTTGCCTATGTATATATGTTCGCGAAAGTTAGTTATTAATAATATACAATATATACATCAACGAAATTGCGACAGGTGACCATGTCCGGATCGCCCATATGGGATCGTCCGTTATACGGATCAGCGGCGATCAGCGGCGCAGCGGTGAAACTCCCCCACCCCTCGAAAAGCCAGATTCCTGAAGCACGCGTAATCGCGAACCGTAATCATAACCGCCGCGCGCCACGCCGCGCCGGCTTGTTTTTCTCCTTTCACTTTCCGAGCCTCGCACTCGCATCCTCGCATGTCATTGAATTCGCTTCGATTACCGTTGCGATGGCAAAAACGAGAGAAAAGAGATAATCTTTTTCAAGATCCTATTTCACAGGATTCGTTCTGATTCGTAAGAGGCGCCAAGGGCTCTAGAATGGAGAAATAAAAAGAAAAGAGCCACAATTAGTCTAAACGCAGTTAGAAAGAGATACGTGTACAATAAGTTTAAACAAATAATTGCAACAATTTTTAAGTTATACTAATAATTATATATATCTTATATGTATGTATAGATATGGGTATATATGTGTATATAGATGAGATATACACATATACTACATACATATAATTATTTCAAGACAAGTTTTAAAATGAAGAGGGCGACGAGGTTCGCAAAATCTCTAGCAGCGTATAGACCTTATCGGAATTTAGTTAGTAATCGAACCAAATCTAATCTTTACCGCGTGATTTCGTTTTAATTTCATAACGCGTTTGGATATAGGTCGAGCATGAATCCGGAAGTATAAAGTCGTCGCACCGTGTGTCATAACCGATTAGCTTCGCAGGATGTTTGAAACCGCTGACAGATAATTTTTATCCAGCAATATAAATATCGGTATACCGCAATGTTTTTGCTCGTGCAGTGTTTTTTTGTCCATATTCTATTCGATATCGTAATGTGTCTGGCTGCGAATAATATTCCGTTCCTCTTGCACGTTTCACGTGAAGCGTCTCATTGCCGAAACAACGGATAAAAAACTTTCTACATCTTTCGCTTGCTTTACGTTGAGATAGTTGAGTATCAATATTTGACTTTGACTATCGGCAAGTCAATGAAACGATGCATATAGGTATGCTTCACGTTGATGAAAATCTTTTTAGATACCTAAATTAAAATAATCTCTTTTTGAAAACTTGAGTTTCGAGCTTAAAAGAGCGTTTCTCTATAAATTTTTTTTTTAATACCGAATATGATGTTGAAAATGCTCAATTACCCTTCGCGGCGTGTTTTTGGCAAGTTTGTCAAAATTGTAAGCAAGATGAAACATTTTCGCGAAACTATCAAACAGAAAGAAATTATGATAATCAATCTTGTTGTGTTTCTTTTGAATTGACTCGGCATCATTCTCGGCCGTGTGATAATGGCAACGATTATGACGTTTACTTGTTTCAGATGGATTTATCGTCGAAATTCGAGCCGAGGACGAAAAAGACGGCGGCGGAGGTGCACCGTCATCTCGCCGACCGCGCCGGCGAGACCACGGAGCTGGGCGAGGTGAGGGTGACCGCGCCGAGCAGCAACGTCGCGACGTCGATGCCGTCGACGGCGCATCCTAACGGCAACGACGCGGCGGCACCCTGCAAGAACGGCGGCTGCAAGGTCTGGAGGAGCAGCCGCGTCGACGGCGGCGAGCTGCGTCCCGAGAGCCCCTGGCATTCGCTCAAGACCGTCTTCTTGATTTCCGTGATTCTGGCGTTCCTCCTCTGGATCATCGTCTACACTCTGCTCGATCAGTATCGGATCTTGTGACCGTAACAATCCGCTTTTCATGGATCCTGCTGTGTTCTCGCGGTCGCGAGATGCGCGATTGCGATTTATGAACGATATCAGATCTCGAAGTCTACGATCGGGTCCTGATACTCCTGATGTGATCTACGTGACTTGGTGTTTTCCATTATGATCGCGATCTGCGATTGGTACGATCGGGGGTCTGCGGTTCACGTGGCGTGTTTCGCGGTTCTCCATGATTTCGTGCTGTTGGATCCACTTTACGCCTTCCATCATCGGATCCTGCATTTCTGATTTTGCAGGACGTTATATTATGTTTATATTACTAATCATATTTGCGTTGCGTTGCGTTGCGACGATTGTTCGTTGTAACGAGACGAAAACAAATCCGTGGAGAAATTCGAAAGGAACGGCCAAATGGACGTTGAATATGGGGAAGACTTCTCCCAGCAGCTTGAGGCTTCCGTAAATTATACAAGTACCGCAACATTGTATATTTCGTACTGTTTTATAACATTTGGCTCCTGTAAATATTTGAATAAAATACGACACAGTATATTATTAGATTATTCAATCCCTTTATTATCATACTCGAGCAGATTGCGCGCTGAGTCTGGTGTTAAAAAATGAAAAAGTTCGTCGGCAAATCTTTACACAGAGTTGTAAATAATACTGAGAGAGACGCTATTTCTTAAGAAAGATCTTGAAAAATTGCGCGGACCTTAGTAAATCTACAAATCGTTAGCATCGATCAAAAAATTCGTTCGCCTTCTCTGCTGTATGACTCCTACGCTATTCAGCCAAGTGAATGAACGAATGTTTTCATCAAAATAGCTTAATGGCGCTCCGCGGGTTTTGGCCGGGATTGTTATAGGCGAGGATATCTCAAAACGATCGTGATATAGGAGAGAAGGGGAATAAATTAGATCCATTTAGATGTCACACGAGTTGCGAGAAAATTATATAGACGCTTTGCGTTTAGAGTTACAGAATTCTCTCTAATTATTTTTCCTTTTTTTGCTCTCAAATCAAATATCAAATCCCCTTCTCCCCTACGCGGCATCGCGATGAAATTGTCGTTGGTAAAAAAATATGACTGTGCACGCATGTTCGAGCATGTATCTCGCGAGAGATCAACCACACGGCAACGGTTTTAGTGAATCGAGACCGACGAGACCCGCAGTAGACGAAGACGTTATCGGGAACGAGCAGCGGTCTGAAACAACCGGAAGCCAGCATCCCCAGCCTCAGTTACAACCGCAACTGCAACTGCAACCACTATCGCAACTGCAATTGCAATTGCAACCGCAACTGCAAACACAAACACAAGCGCAGTCGCAACCGCACCCACCGCCACCATCGCCAACGACGACGTCATCGACATACACGCGAGATCAAGAGACAGATCCGATGCGACAGCATCCGAGCACGTGGAGATTGCGCGACGACAACAACGACGACGACGACGGCGACGATGACGATGAGAACGAGGAGGAGCAACCGGACGACAATGTGTTGTGATCTATTTTGTCCATTTTCGTACGTATGCGTTTTCGTCAAATGAGCGAGCAATGATTGTGCGTGTTTCAGTTCTCCGCGGCGACGGAAAGACGTGCGCCGCCGAGAGTGATCTTGATTGGTTGGGACAACTTCCGCACGAAGCTGCTGCTATTCCTGATCGCGTGTCTTCTCGTCTGGGCCTGCGTCTTTTTCCCTCTACTCGGCACTTGAATCTTGAATCCCGACTCTTCTTCCTCCTCATCCTTCATCCTCTTCTTCTTTCGCCCGCAGTCGCAAAATGACACATCGGGTACATACACTTGATCGACATGACGAATGACGATTCGATGCGGCGACATTCAACACGATCACACATACATATTTTCACGCGTTTACATTTCCATATATTATATATAGATATATAATATATATATATATATACCTATATATTACGTCCAATATATATAATAACTTTACATTTTTGGTATTCAATATTTACACGCTATATATGTTTAATCATAAATATATTAATTTACGTAGTGGCCTTCGCGGAGAAGTAATTAAACAGCTCATCTCCGAACCATCTTAAATTCATTTACTTCTTTCGTTCTTCTGTTCTTTTCTTAATAGAAATTGTAATGCTCATTGCAAGATTTTCATGGCTTTAGTCTCTTTCTCTCCCCCTCCTCCTCCCCCCTCTCTTTCTCCACGTGCCTCCATAATGCACAATTTTAATATATATATGTATATATATATATATATATAAAATTACTGATAAACGTGGACTTAAGACGGCTTGAAAATAGCTCTTTGATCGCGAGAGACAGAAGATTTGAACGAATCCGTCTCTGTCACTTTTGCTCTCATTTCTCTGCAATATTACGTGATTACTATTCTCCTTGGAATCGGTTTAATCAACCGGAATCCTTTGGAAAATTCGCTTCGCGCCCGCGACCTCCGTCGATTATGCTACATGTATTTTTATTTACGGAACACTTTCGTTGTGTAGCATGTCGTTATGTATATATGCCGTTCTTTTCTTTTTTTCTTACGTACTTACGGTAGTAAATATCTCTCGTTTCGTAATCGTTTGATCTAAATGAGAGTAATATCAAGTAGCGTTTTAAGTATATGGTATAATTTCTATATACAGGGCGAGTCGATAGAAGCGGAGTCTTCAAGTATCTCCCTTGAAGTCGGAGATTTAAAAAAAGGGTGTAGAATGCCACTTATATAAGTGGTGGTTCTAGATGTTTCTTGATATTATATTAAATTCGTTTTGATGTCAATTCGAACGTTTGCCGGTGATAGAAATGTAATTAATTGATTAAGAAAGTATAAGAGTAGAAATATATTAGAAATATGTATATAATTAAACTGTCAATGTCACTTGTTTCCTTTAACAATGAATTATACATTTTACATACTTTTCTTCAATATTTTCTTCGAATCCAAAAGAGATTACTTCGTTCCATTTCTGTTGACTCGTTCTGTTCACTTCCGTAATCTTATTAACGATTTTCGTAACATACACGTGATAATACGACCATAACATTTCTATAATCGCTGTCTTACTTACTACAATAGTATAGCTAATACATACTATTAATTTGGCATGTAACAACCGTGACGGCGCGTTTATATGCTAAGAACCGCGACCGACGCGTCACGAGGGAATTCGCGTAAATACTTGCTAGATCTTATCAAATCCTCCTTTTTACACACAGTATCCCACACGACGTGTCCAATACACTTTATTTATAAATTCTTCTCAATGATTGATTTTTATATTAAAGATTCATTTGAATTTAAACGAAGAGAACAAGGTCTTATATTGTCCTATTGCGTTGTTAAAGCTTGGCTCGCGTGGCTCATATTTTATTCCGCAAGGAATATCCTAGCATTTTCGTTAAGAGAAAACTGACTCTAGATTGCACGAAGAATTCATAAGTCGGACACGTCGTGGAACACCCTGTGTTACGTTACGCTGTTAGTCACGCGATGATGCTCGATGGGATAAGGTTTCGAGTGCCCAAGTATTTCTTATAGCTTGGAATAAATACAATAGCGGTGGATTCGTGTGAAAAAAACGTGCAATTGAACGAAATTATCGAATACGCAAATGCGGGAAAAATGCGGTTAATTAAAATATCGCGGGGCAAGAGTAAATGCGTCTGGAATGCCACGATAATGTGTCTATTACGCGCGAGAGTAAATCGGAATCAAACTGGTACGTTTAACGGAATAAAATCAAGAGCCTGTGCATCCTCATGTAACTCCTCTTTCCTCCAGTGTAACTTAATTAATCGACCGATACACGGAAAAAATGATAAAATTTCACGACTATTATCCTTTCAAATAACAAGTAATGTACACCTGAACATAATATGGCGAAAATAAATAAATCTTTATATGTATACGTATGTGCATGTGTCTGTGTGTTATCATATAGGGAAGATATTCCGAGTTCGATACTCCTGAGCGTCAGTATTAAAATAATAATTAAAAAAGAAAAAAAGAAAGATAAAAGATCGCACGTGTATATTCGCGAACGGGATAATTTCCTAAACGTCGACATTAGGATAAAATTGTCCAAGTTCCTGCCTATGTATAATATTTAGGGTAACAACAACGCGAAATGTATTTCACGCAAGAAAAATAATACCGTTCTGACATTCCTAAAAACGCCGAGATTAATAATAAAAGAAAAATCGTTTATATCCGCGGCTTGTACGTCAAAGTAACGTGAAATGTTTTCACATCCATCTCTGTGCAATCCTGCGGGCCAATGACACCGTCGCCGCTGGTACGCGATGGCACGCGCGTCTCCTTGCTCGCGTGCTCTTCGAAGATCTCATTGTGGCTGTTGTCCAGCATCTTCTCGGTCGCCGGCTGCTGCTGCTGATCCGCCGCCATCACGCGCACGATCTTCACGGTCTTGATTGTCTCCAGGGAACGCGACTTGGACGCTTCCGTCACCGCCGCTGCTGCCGCCGCTGTCGCCGAGCGGCCGGCTACCTTAGTGCCGTTCTCCTTGTTGCGACGGGAAGAATTGCGATGCCAGCGTTGCTTTTCCCTAGAGGAAGTTCTCCGAAGACTCGGCCGCTTCACCGATTCCGCGCTAGCGCTTAAACCCGTGGCTGTATTCGAAAGACGTTCAATGAGAAAAATTGGACAGACTCGAAAGCATAGCATAGGGTTAATTTTCAACGGGCAATTAAACTTACAATATATAAAAAAAGAAAAAGGCAGAAAAGAAAAAAGCCAATCGCAAAAGATGCGATAAGAAAATTATAAACATACAGAGAAGCTTTAACATTTGTAAATAATTTAATTGGTTATCAACAAAACTTATGCAATAATGCACAAGCGTAAAGAAATGTCAAGCTCATATCAACCTTGTTTTTTCTGGCTGTCAAAGAAATAAATCTCTAAAATTACGTGGTTGTTTACCGATATTGCCAGAGGAAGACCGATTGGAACCACGTAGAATGTGTATCGCCGTAGGATCACTGTCCGTGGCCATTATAGGCGTGAGAAACCATTCAGATCTAGTTCGCATCCGCGCGGCTTGTCTCTCGTGAACCTGCGATCGCAACGATGGCATATATCACATCAATACCAATTGCCTGTTGTTTGTTATCGTCGTTATCGAGACACGATTGTCTTACCTGCGGCAGGTAGCTGAGGCTCTTGGTGCTCTCGGCGTAGCGATTCACCGCGCGAAGCTCTTCCAGCGTCATGCCCGCCGTCACGCGTTTAGAATGTTGACTGCCATTACTCGACGAACGACTGGGCGCCTGTAAAAAAAAAAAAAGAAAAAATAAATAAAATAATCCGTTATACTGCTTTACTTACTTTTTACGTTACGACAATTGCGACGCAACGCGAAAGCACGATCGCGCATTCCACGCGCTTACGATAAATGTGGTTTTATACCTGGAACAGGCCGTTCTCTTCTAAGCTAACCGAGAGACGTGTGTAACTCTCGAGTAAAGTATTCTCTGGAATCATGCCTAACGATGATGCCAGATTTATCGTCTCCGGCACGTGGATCAACGCCGGAGTTGACTGCGATTCCTCTTGGTGAGACATACCTATATTGTATAAATTAGCAATTATTACAATACTGTACAAAGTGACAGTGATGAAAATCCTTTCACTGCTGCAATATTGGACCGTGGTGTTGTCAGAAATAAAAATATACGAATCTTCCTCTCGCGCTACACGCGTTTTGATATAAATTACTTTACTTACTTTATTTCTAAAGAAAAGAAAGGTAAAAGAAAATTTTTTTTATCGAACACAAGATCCAATATGATAACAACAATGGTCGGGAAACTTAACGTTCGATTCAATGAGATGTCACAGTTACACTTATAACTTACATTCTAAATTAAACTTCAATCCCCACTTTTCGCACTCATATTGTAACCATGACTTTTCGGCTTCCAGCGACAGCTGTCCTAAAATTCATACATTCAGGTCGTACTTGCGCAATTAAGTCGTCGTGATTGAAAGTGCGCGCGCGCGCACACACACACACACACACACACACAAACACTTACTCGACACGAGAGTGTCCGGCGGATATCGGAAACTAAAGATCCAATCTTCCTCCACCTTTAATATCCGACCGGTTATGCGCGCGTAATACTCATAATTATCCCTTCCGAATAAATTGGAAACGCCAAAGTTGTCTATCATGAACTTGGCGATGCGTGTGGCAATCTGGAAACAGGTTGTCGATCCTCACTGACTATTATAATGTTAAAATCCTTGACGGACTTTCGATCTTCCTCGAGTGGTTCGGACCGTTGGAGACGGACCCGCGTTAACTACCTTAAATCTTAGAACATCCTCCATCTTAGCAGTCTTGCCGTCGCTGACGCAGCTGTGAAAGAACGAAGGTGCTACGGACACCCCCAGGGCCTCGCTGGTCATCCCCGTGTGCGCTCTCTCGCAATTTACAGCTACTACCCTGAACGTTCCGAACAGCAATACCAGTAACCGTTGTGTGTATATCGGCATGGAAGTAATTAATCTGCGCAACGTACGTTTCTTTGTGAATTTCCTCGATAAAATGATAGATATCGAGAATGTCGTAACGCGTAATGCGTAACGCGAATGTCAATCAGTCAGAGATCATCACCTGTGTATCTGGTCCCGTTGTTGTTCTACGCTATCTAGCTGGATTATGGCAAACAGTTGTTGCTCCGCCTCTTTACCGAATATTCCTCCAGGTATCTTGCGCAAAAACTTCTTTAGAACGCTGGCTATCGTGTAAACGCTAAAATTGTCCATATTGACCAGATGTCCAGTTTGCAGAAAGTGTACCAGTTTCTTCATGTTACCCTGGTGACCAGGTGCCCGAAAGATATCTTTTCTGAGCGGGGCTTCCTTGTTCAATTTCAATATAAGAACCTGGAATAAGAGGACACTGTTATTATAGTTAATAAATCAATTATTCCAGATATTTTAAAATGTAAACGTTTGCCGACGAGGGGACGCTATTTCCATTGGATTCGTTATTTACCAGTAATGGGCCAGGAATATCATTCTTGCACACTTCGTTCAAGGGTGCACCAAACTTGACCCTACAAAAGGAAAGCAGAACGTTGCAAACATTACCTTCACAAGTAATGCAAATATCGATTTTCGGATTTTATTCCGACAAAACAATAACGAGACACGTGCATAAACTTTGAACGCAGTAGTATACCAAAGCGAGTTTCTCTAAGACGGGAGAATACAAATGTTGAATTAGAGGCGTCATGGGCGGTGCGTTTCACTGCTTGTTATAAAATTGCGCTATCAAATGTCGCTACTCTGGAATCGCTAAACAGCTCCAACAGCCTTCGATAAGTCAGCCTACTATTATAACGCGATGGATATCCGAGAGTTGTCAATACGCATATTAGTAACATACGATACACGTAATCTTTTCAAACTCTGCGATTACTTACAAGTCTACCACGCACCTCTTCAGAGCATCAAACATAAAACGCGGAGTGCTGACAATATTTGTCCGATATATCGTTAAATATCAATTATCACATCTGTGAAAAAATTTAAGACCTTTATTACCTCACTGTCAGTTAATTTTTATATCGACACACTGTCTCGCTGTGCTTTATCTACATATGTATACTATACCATACTAGACATATATACATAATGACCGTCTACGAGAAACTGATGGTCCAACTTATGCAAACAATTAGTTTCAATTAACAATTTATATAAATATATTATAATTATATAATTTGACAATTTATATGCATTCTGTTCTTTGCTAAAGATTGCAACCATCTAACCAAGGGTTTTTGAAAATATGTACCTACTTGAATTTAATATATGTCTAAATCACATGTAAGTACACAATCATAAAAAATTGGCATCACTTGGGAAAAAAAGAATTATTTATTATATAACATATTAATTATATTACAATGTTTGTTAACACAACAAGGCGTGCCAATGAATCGTATATTTACGAGTATATTTATCTCTTTGATCTCTTCCAAAAAATTTATAATAAATTCAGAATGTTTTTCAGTTTTTTAACGAATAAAATATTAATTAAAATGCAACTGAAGGACGAGTGTCGTGTTCTCGAGCGATATACTAACTTTTCCAGGCGTCTTGGGTGAAGAGGCTCTGAAGAGGGATGTCCACAGCTGGTTACAACATTTCCAAACGTAGCGGCGCGTCGATGCATTCTCTCCGTCCAGCTGCTCATTGTACAAAATCTAATGGCATTGGCATGCGAGCGCTAAGATCGCTGTGGGCTCTGGGCTCTAGGCTCTTGGCCTTCTGAAGAAACGTCACGCTCTCCTCTCCCAAACTCGAGTTCTCCCGGTTCTCCGTGCCTCCCAATGCAGCTCCTAATCCAGTCGCTGAAAGCACACGGCAAGATTTTTGTCTGTCTTACTCTCGTTTCCAATTTTTCTAACTTTTGATGCAAATTTCGAAATTTGCGCTACTTAACAACTTATTGTTAGAAATTCATTTCCCTGTTGTATTTTTGCATTAATCACGAAGACAACTCTGAGCTAAACTTTCTCTCCCAGATTTATTATTGCCGACGTTCTCGAAACTTGGATTCTTAACTTGCGGAAATAGCCGCAATGTTAGTCAACGTTAGTAAACACGAGAGTACATAAACAAAACACATTTATATGACTCACTAATAGGAAGTCAATAATAGTCAATAAAGGAGAGTCGAACAAATTAGAGAAATACAATAGTCACATCACAATATTCGTGCAGAAATCAGTTGAATGCACTTACAAAATGATTTTGACAATTGAATCATAACGATCTAGCGATGACCCACCGATGCAATAGATATGCAAACGTAGTCGCAGACAGGAAGGAACGCGAAGATCTGAAAGAACTGTGGAACTGTGGAAGTAGGTGGAGAAAGAGAGACCCGCGCGAGAGCGTCAACAATTCGACAAAGAGAGAAACGAGAGAGCGCAGCCCTGAGTTCCAAGTTCCGACCAGTTCCGACTCAGTGATGTCAACGTGATCAACGTCGGAAAGATAGAGAAGAGAGCGAGAGAGAGAGAGAGAGGAAATCTCACCGGGTGCGGGTGATCCCTTCGTCGTCGAGCGTCCCACGTTGAAGTTAACCTAACCTAACCGCGCGCATAGTCGAGCCAGGCAAGCGGATGAGCGGGCGACGCGACAACGGCAATGGGAAACTGATGGTCACTGATGGATGGACGTGGCGGCGGCGGCGACGGAGATGCTCGCTTCCCCACGCACCAGCCCAGCCCAGCCCAGCCCAGCCGCGTCTACGTTTCCATGGAAATGTTGCGGCCGCGGTGCCGAAACTGCCGAAGCGCCGACAGCATCGTCTCGGTCGTGCCACGCCACGCCACGCCACGTTACGTTAACACCTACGTTGCGGCACGTCACGATTAGGACAGGACACACGACATATGACACGATACCGAACCGAGACACCCTCGTCACAGTCGTCAGGTCGTCACACCACACAGCGTCACAGCTCACAGCGTCAGACACGCCGTCTACTATGGCTGCATTCCGATATATTAACTGATTAACGACGGTCGCCAGCGGATCGAGAGGAAAGCATCACTTGTCGCGTAACTATCACGGTCACGGCTACTGACGGCTACCACGAGGACCACGGCCCGCGCACCACCGCCACCGCCCGTAGCAGCAGCGATCATCGCAAAAAATCAATATGATTCCCCACTCCCACCTCCCATTCCCCATTCCTACATTTCCTACCGACAGCGACAGGGCTGACAGCTGATGTGACAGGGTGACACTCAGGTTAGGTGACAAGCTGACCCAGACCGACCCAGACCCAGACCCAGTCTGACCAAAGGCCCACTAGAGTCCCTAAAGATCGATAGTAAGATAGAGTCTGGCCATGCTACGTGTTCCTCCTTATTGGTGAAAACGAAGTTTGGAAAACCATGTACTTACTTTTATTATCAATTTGTAGTCAAACAATAGCAAGTTTCTTTTATTGACGCCATGACGCCGTGTGTACGCCAGTGTACGCGAGGTAGGCGACAGTAGGCGAGTAGGGACAGGGAGTGGAGTGAGGGAGTACGCACCACGCACCTGTGCATATATCTATATAAGTAGTATATAGTATATACGCAACTTACAATGGCGGTCGGGTCTCCCTTGTCTCTTTCTAGCACACGCGAACGTGCTCGAAAGACGAAATCACAACGGGCACAATGGCCACAATGAGCAGACTAGTAGCGTATAGAAATCTGTGGGTAAATTGCTGTGTAGAGTGTGGACTTGTGGAGGCCATAATCTCGACGACGTGCGCCCTTTTTAATACACTTGTTATATTGTAAATTGTTACCAGTGTCACGAATCCAGTGTAACATGTTGGGCCCCTACTGTACCAAATTGACGCTATGTGCGCGACAGCGATAATTCTTTATTCTACATTACAAAACAAATAAAATCTCTTTTGGTAATATATAAGAACATGATACGTACGTATTTTATGTTTGCGGAAACCGCATACACAAAACTGGCGGCTTGAAAATCAAATTTGAAAATCCGGCGTGGTTGCAAACGCGTCAAGTAAGTCAACTTTTCTATCATTACCTTGGCCTAAGCTTGCCCTCATATATCTAAATATCTTATTTCACGTCTCTATCCACGTATTCATCGCATTAAAGTTGCCACATTTCAAATCTAGTTTTAAAATTTCTCTATTTCTTTTTAATTTATTTATTTTCTTCATTCACTTTGCCTTGCGCTTTATTCCATTCCAGCGACATTACTTATCGTTTGTGTTGTATGCTAGGCAAAACCAAGATAACGTCCTACTATTAGAGGAAGTTAGAGATATTTGTGTATCGACCACCTTAGACCTTGGACCACCTTGATGAGATGAATAATAGGAAAAGGGCGATGGAAGATGATGACGGTAGAGGATTCGAAAGAGGGTTGGAAGCGGATAAAATCCTTGGCTCAGCGGATGACAATGGAGAGTTGATGTACTTGATACAATGGTGAGTGACATGTTCATCTGTACGTCGTAAATGTACATTTGTCGGAAGTACAGAAAAAGAATGCAAGGTAATGTGAGTAATTTGAAAACACGTGAAGCCAATTGATACAACCAATACAACGGAAGTAATTTTGTTTGCGTAGGAAAGGAACGGAGGCAGTTGACATGGTATCTGCCAAAGAAGCCAATGCCAAATGTCCTCAGATCGTTATCCAATTTTATGAAGACAGAATAACCTGGAGTAAGGCAAAAGCGTGAAACAGATATGTATTTCCTTGAAAAAGTTAGACTCTCTACATCATTTAAGAAATTGATTTTTATTGCGATCTAAATGTGTAATAAATATCTTTGGAAGGTACGACTCCTATTGTATTCTAAACATGTAATAGGTGGTTTTTTGGGGGTTTTTTTTTTAAATATTTAATTTCCCTTAATCTTGATGTACTCGATTCGGTACTTTGGCAGTACATCCGTTCTTTTTAGTTGCACATTTTGTACATACTTGCGATATTTTCTATTTCTTTTTTTCTTATCTGTGATCTTTCGGCGAAATAGGAACTTTAATTGCACCAAGTACCTACCGTTCCCGGTAGATTATCCCAGTTTCCGTTTTTTTTTTGAAGAAAAATATAGTAGGTACATAAGATAATTTAGAATACGTAGTTAACGTCCCCCTCTTGCTTTTAATATTTCACAGGAAAAAAAATATAATACGCACAGCAAACTTGTATAGAATCCACGAATTCACAGCCTTGTTTCATCATTTTATTGCATTTTAGACAAAGTAAGGGCGAATACAGTGTATATATCGCAACGTTTATACACGCGACCTTACGTCTTGTTATTACCAACGTATCCTTATTAATTAGTGTACATATATATATGTATATACACAAATTGTATCGCCAAACTTCTAACAAACCTACCGCGTGTCATTTTATTTACAAAGATCCGCTGGCACTTAATTGCATGTAGTGGATGTTAATCAGAGATCTCTCAACAAGATCCTGGAGTGTCTATAAGTATTTCGAAGCAACGGATCGTAGCTAAAAATTTTTTAGAAAATAGATTTATTACAATATCCAAAAGAAATCTTTACTTTCAACTTATGTTATCAATAATTCTCCCCATAAAATATTGAAATTAAAATTTCTTAATTTTTTAATAAATGATTTTGAAGTCTCTTGAAAATTTTGCTCATCGCAAAGTACAACCGCAAACAACTCCAGACTGTAAAAAAAACAAAGTTTGGACTTGTAGAGTCTCTTGATTTCTCGATAAGCGAGTTTCGAACATAAATGGACGAGAGAGATATGTAAACATTGCGGGATTACTTGCTATTTACATTTAAGCTAATGTCTTATCGTAAAAGTTACGTCATCTCTGGTGAAAAAATGACAGAGCATTATTTAGAAAAAGGAAACGGATTAACAAATTCCGAGTGATGGTGATGGTATGAGTATAGTATTATACATCGTGCTCGCGAGCGAGAGAGATCAGAACTTCCTCGGTCGACCTCGTTTGCGGGGTGATGCGATTTTACGTGTGCTCGGCCGGGCGCGCAGCTTCCGTCGCAGCATTCTGGACGAGCTGCCAGAGTTGCGCTGGGTATCGTTGTGCATTTTCAAATGTCGCAGAAATAGCAATCTGGACTTGATGAGCTTCTTACAGATGTGGCACTTGCGTACGTGCTCTACAAGTAAAACAACAACGAAAATTAGACAGATAAAATCTACATCGATCTTGGCTCTCACCCGTTCGTCACTTATAGATTGCAGTATATTTTTTACACGGTGCGGTCTCCTTCGCGTATACTTGGCGCGAGACACCACCGCGTCTCTTGATTTTTAATTCAATATTTAATTTATTATTCGAAAAAGAGTCAATTAAAACTTGTATGTGTTAAAATTTGGATTTGTTAAATACACACATAATTTATTATGAAAATAAGAAGGCTCAACTAAAATCTTTGAATTAAATATAAATATAAATAGAATTTTTTAAATTCCCTTTTAAATATTCTCTTTCAGAGGTAGTTTATATTTAATTCAAAGCTGGATTCTAATTAAGTCTTACTTTATAGTCTTTTATATATATATATATATATATATATATCTCCCCCCTCTCCCTCCTCTCTAATCAAGTTTTTCTTTAATTTCGACATATACCTGATTTCTTAGTGCCATGTTGCAAACTGTGCGCATCTAGTAGAGCTGTACTTGGGAACCACCTGCCGCAGTCCGTGCAATCGAGCTTTTTCGTCTCTAACGGGTATTTATTCCTTTGCTTCCGTTTTCTCTTCACTCTGGTGAGCATGCTGAGTTCTCTCTTTGTCGCGTTGTCTTCGTCAACCGATTCCTCCTCTTCCGTTGAAGTTGTTTCCTTCCGTTGAACTGATCTCAAGGATTTGCTCGGAGTTCTGTCAAATAAATTATGAGAGAAATTGTAAAAAAGCTGGATATTAGATTTATGTGAAATAATAAATAACAAAATCTATGATTTTTGACTGATTTGTATTATAACGTATGTAGAAAAAAAAATACTGATTTACATTGCTGAAGAGAGGCTCAACTTGTGCTTCTTCCTCTGCAAGTGCACTAAGCGAACGTGACGCGCCAAGGTAACAGCCACGTCAAACTTCTCCTGGCAGATTTTGCAGGGATACTGCTTTTTGACTTTCTGATTTTCTTTACCCTTTGGTTTTCTCTTGCCGAGATTGAGAGCTTTCGTTGGCGATTTCTGACACACCAAGAGATGCATTTTGAGAGTACGTCGGTACCGAAAGTTTCTAGAACAATACTCGCAACGTATTACACTATTGAGCTTCGTCAAATGTCCACCGGGCTGCCATTTAACGTTCTCCTCTTCCTCTTCTTCCTCGTCATCACTGTCATCGGAATCCGAATCCCTCACCATGATAATTTCGTTCTCTTTGTCGCTGGAATACTTGTCCTTGTTATCATCCAGAGTGATCTCCACCACGTTGCGTGTCATTTGTTGCTCTTCTTCGTCGACATCCAGGTCGATCACCTCCACGACCTGAATTCCGACACATTAGAAAACTAATTTAAGGGAACATTCATGATTAGTGCTTAAAGATGTTGACACGTATAATTTTCGGCTCTTTGAAAACCTTCAATATCTAATTTTGCAAGTAATTGTAACAGGCGTAATCATTGAGCGACTATAACTGAACAAATATAATTCACAAGTATTAAAAAAAATTACAAACATTGGATGAAGATTGCAAAATTGGAAATTGAAATTTTCAAAAATAAAAACGCGACACGTGTAATTTCCCAATCGCTTCTGTGCGCGACATTTACCTTCCGCCGCTTCGTTCGCTTAATTCGTTTTGTCCGTTTAATTCTCTTTGCTTTGGTTACATCGACACGTATCTGCGATGACAACTGGCGTCGCCGAGTGATACGCTTCTTGCCGGTCAGTTCCTCATTCAACATCGATGCCGGCTGTATGATGATCTCTCCGTCATCCCGATCGACGGAGATCAATTGCTGCTTCCGCGATCGTTTGACCTTTAGTGGCGTCTGCGGAGTGGTCGCCGTTGTCGACGATGGCAAATCGGTCAATGTGTCGATTAATCGCTGCCGATCGTTCTCTGAGACGGAAGTGCATGTTCGGTCGATCGTCGAATGCGATGACACGTAAGATTCAAGTTTATCCGCGTCTTCATTTAACGATGATTTAGCCTTCATCAAAGACGCACAATCTTCCTGGATATTTGACTTATCGTCTTGCAATTTTTCGGACTTTTTGTCGTTCGTTTCCAATGATTTCTTGCGGGAAACCTTCATATTCTGCAATGTCGCCTGGATCTCGTCAAACGTCAACTCTGAGTCAGACTGATGATCAGCTTCTAAGAGGATATATTGTACTGTTGAATGCTCCATCAACTCGTCCTCAAATTCGAGATTATCTTGACATTCATCCGGTTGCTTATCTAAAAAGATCCGTGTTATTCAGACCTTACACATTTATGGGAAAAAAAAAAGAAGAAAAACCACATTTGTTGTTATCGATGGGAATATGTGTGGTAAAAAAGTTAGCGTTTTGTACAACAAAGTTTGATTGTACAAACTTAATTAATTTTTGTATACGTAAACATATTCTAAAAATTTTAAGCAACAAAAATAAATTTCTTTATATTATCGTATATATATATTTATATATATATATATATATATATATATAAGAACAAATACTATTTCTGCCAGTGCTAATTAACGTAACGCGTTATTTGCATATATTGGTATTTACTCATATACATGACATATTCATAAGATATGATTGGACGTGTTGCCTCAAATTGCTGATAGTTTTAAAATTACAAACAATATTTTTTTTCGAGCAGATTGAAATTCTAGAACAAAATAAATTACGCACGATACCTAAATTTAAAAATAGCTTTTATTACTTTTTATGCATTTATCCAATCTTATATACATACCGATATTCACAATATTATCCATATTGTCGTCCGTTATGAGACTTGTAATATCCGATTGTTCGTCGACAGATGCCTGAACGCTATCACTAGGCTTTGAACTAATCTTAAAGTTGCTATAGTTTTGGTAAGTTTCATAATCGTGTCCTATTCCGTTCTCTTCCTGTGCAACGGCCTTCTTAGTGTTGACTGATGTGTCGCAGGTATCGCAGGTAGACGTCTTGTCATTTACTTCAGATTCCTCCTTGCGATAAAACATTGGCGGTTGGGCAGTAAACACCCGTTTCTTCATCTGCGATGGTTTCTTCACCGTTCGCACGGCACCCTCACCTATTAGACGTTCCACATCTGCTCTGTAATTACATCCATGTCTGTAGTTCTGGCAACCGACATACAAAATGAAGTAAAAGGAAAAGAAGACCAAAATAGAGATCAGCACTTAATTAAAACTAAGTTTTTTTTTGTTGCTAAAAAAAGTAGAGTTTAAAAACCAAAGGCTTTAATTGAAGCTAAGTGAGTTTGTTTCTCTCTCACGGACTTACTTCATAAGAAACTGAAAGTTACTCGGAGGTTCGTCGGACTCGTCGTAAACAGCCACGGCAAATATCTCGTCCGAGTCTTCCACGGCATACAGAGCCAGCTGTTGTCCGGCCGCGGTGACAAAAGTGGCGATTGTCTCCTCGTCATCTTCTTGTTCCTCGGACTCGTTTTCCTGTGCGTCGTGTATTACACAAATTGTGTAATAAAAACAATTAACTGCTAAAGTAAATTGACACTTATCGGTTTAAAAATAGAGATCAAGTGTCGAACGTTTACCTTCAAAAGAGATGCTTGAACATTTTCAGAATCCCATTTCTCGGCGATCGACGACGTCTCCGACAATGGAACAGTACGTATGGACTCGTCGAATCTGGTGGCCATGTCGTCACAACTTTCGAGACTCTCCTCAAAATACGTAGTAGACTCTGTCTGGTGATTGGCTTTGTCTGTCAAACGTCCATTCGTATTCATAATGTGTATGTGTATTTCCTCATTGACAATCTACGAAATATAGGAATCTCATCGGTATGTCGGTGATCCACATGATATTGATCCACTTTAACCAACGCTATCCACGTCTTTACCGCACTTTCCCCGGTACTATCTTGCTTTAACAGAGCTGCGCTGTGTTCCGATTCGCTCTCCATAAAGTTAGCCTTGGTCATTATTCGATGGGACATGACTGCTTCACAAACATCTAGCTCACTGGTAAACGACATATTCAACTCAAGGACGCTTCAATTTGACATTATCGTTGTCGAACACTCATCATGATCACCACAGGTCACCGCCTATAGAAATACACACAATAAGAGAACATTTTTATTAAATATTATTAATTTAATATTTACTTTTAAATGTATAATTAATGAAAAGCTATATGTGTTGATACAAGTATGCTGCTCCAAGCTCAAAGTATTTAGATGTTGACATATGCGCAAGGACATTTATGTATGTACACACATACGTGTATTAATATAAATTTTAATATTAATACATGTATCTCTGTTTTGTGATATACATCAGTGTAATTTAATAAACACGAGACGCGATAACTCAACATTTCAACTACAACTACAACTTCAACTTGAACTGTACAAGCGGCGTTTGCGCCAATGCGCAAAATAAGCGCTCATCACTTATCAAAATCCTAATTGACTGGTCTGATAGTCATTGCCGTTTTGGACAACGGTTGCTTACGTCCCTACCTATTGCTTCCCGTTCTAAGCGAATTAGCAGATTCGCGGGAATCGCAGGATCGTTGCGCGAGCGTCGCCCCTGAGCGAGAGAGAATCCTTGCTTTCAGAATGAGAGAATCCGTGCCGTGCGCCGTGCGTTGCGTAAACTGCTCGGAACCTCGGAAGAGGAGGTTATGTTCGTCTCACGGTAGTCGCTAGTCGCTAGTCGCTAGTCGCTAGTCAAGTAGTCAGAGTCAGAAGTCAGAACTCAGAACGCGGGGGAAAGGTTGGATGTTGGATGCTATACTTGCTCGTGTACGGATATACGTAAATACGTGCACGACAGGCGCTTTTATATCTCTTTGAGAGGTGCGGCGTGTCGCGGCCGCGGCCGGCATACAACATTCACCAAGCTCGCGACGTCGCGAATCGCGATAACAAACGACATAACATCGGGATCGGGGGCGATACAACGGAAACCCTAATCCCTATTATCCCTAATGTGCGCGCTGTGCGCGCATAGTTGATCGTCGTCGTCGTCTTTGCTAAATTGCTTCGCCAGTTCACCACCGTTTTCTGCTGCCATCGCGCTCACCGCGTTACTAATTGCCAATCGCTGATATTCTTCCTAGAGCAAATAGTTGTCGCGATTCGCCAATCGCTGACCATCTGTCGCGCGGATCTCGCCTGCGATTGGTCGAGCCGTCGAGCCCTCTGCGCGGCATGCTCAA